CTGACCAGTTGTAATAGCGAAGACACTCTCTTTGGCTCTATGGATACCTACCCTCTCTTCAGCTACCTTCAGCCACACATGCCAGAACCACAACTGATTACAGTATAGGGTCCTAGTGAACATCCAAATATCATCATACACCCACCTCAATATTCAATACTCAGTCTGTAGACCTTACTATTCATGTAAACCAGTTTCACACTGAACTGCAGTTGAATGTGCGCTTCAATTCATCCTTCAAGCACACACAGAGATCGATCAGAGGATGTAGCTAGATATATATACCTCATTAACTGAATTCTACATATTTTGATCTATAATCAACCAGCAGATCATAGCGGTATTGCATATCTGATGTGTGATAGCAGTCATATGTATAATGGAGAATAACAAGGTATTACATGCATACAATAGGGTAAGAAGGATATCATCTTTTAGGGGGACCTTTCTGTATGCTTCTTACCTTCATCTCATTGGGGAACTCTCACCTCTGAATAAGTTATTAAAAGATTGGAGTGAGAGGATATGCAGCATATATACAGGTAGATAGGATTCCTAAAAATATAGGTGGTGCTCATAGCTCTGACGGACATCTGATAGACCATACTGCAACTTGAATCATGCTTATCCATGGATCCCTCAGCAAGATATCAAGTGATCATGGTGCTCAATCAAATTTAAAAAAGGAAAAGTACAGAAAAGTGGGATACCAGTATAACCTAAGGTTATAAGAATAGACTCACATCAGAGCATGTTTACATTAGGTTATTATATAACAATCATCTAATTTGATGTAGAATTGGTGGAGATATTAGTGCATCAATGTGTGTGATGAATAATCATGAGATGATATATATATCTTAATAACATTATATTGTCAAGGGCATTATTCTTATGATACAGGTACCCTTTGTCGTACTGAAATCATCTGTGTAAGTTATCTACTTACTGAGATATTACTACATCAGGGGTACATCAGCAAATGATTAGCCAGTGCTGACACATTTATTGAGCTGTGACTACAGGTCACTTACTGAAAGTTGTTTCCATAGTCAAAATGTACAACTTTGATTTTTTTGTGACGATCTGTGACATTCTCTGATCATTCCGCTGTTTAACTGCGGAAATTTCCTTTTTGGGAAGTATGTCACCCTGTGACGTCATGTCACACTATGTAGCAAAGTGTATGAACCTGGTAGGTATTGGCCTACACAGATACTGACATTTTAGGACTTCATTTATATTCCTTTTTAAGTAGTCTATGATCGGATAGAACTAACTTGCATACTTTGTTAAATGTCAAAGATACTGCAGCATATGTAGCAGCCACTGACTTAGAAGTTTTTCGGTCATATATCTAGAAATTATTGCAGTTTTCTTCCAGCATTTATTGCAGCACAGGGATTTTTGATACTTTCCTTCTAATATGAATTGACGGTCAGGTATACCGTCACTTCATATTAGAAAGGATATGTGGGAACTACAGGTGGGCCCCCGCTCCTCACGTTCTGATGAGTGGGCCATCTCCGGTGGTCTTCTCCATTTCCGAGGGAAGATCGTCGTACCAAAGGACAAGGACCTTCGGAGACGCATCATCGAGCTCTGCCACGACACCCGAGTCGCCGGACACGCCGGTCGCTTTAAGACCCTGGAGTTGGTCTCCCAGAACTACTGGTGGCCCCAAATGTCTCGCCATATCGGCCGGTACGTTGCAACCTGCGACTTGTGCTGTCGCACCAAGGCACTCCGGAGACTGCCCCACGGAGAGCTGCACCCCACGGAAACCCCCCCGGAACGCTGGCATACCGTCTCCATTGACTTCATCGTAGAGCTCGCCGAAGCCCATGGTTACGACGCGATCATGGTCGTTGTTGACACCCTCGGAAAGCGCGCCCACTTCTCGGAGTGTCATACGACGGTCGATGCCATAGGGGCAGCCCGCCTCTACTACCGGAACGTCTGGCGGCACCATGGGACTCCAGAGAAGTTCATCTCCAACCGCAGCTCGCAGTTCATCGCGGACTTCACCCGAGAACTTTGGCGTCTAATCGGCATCAAGCCTGCCACGTCCACCGCGTATCACCCGCAGACGGATGGGCAGACAGAACACGTCAACCAGGAGTTGGAGCAATACCTGCGGATCTTCACCAACTATCAGCAGGACGACTGGGACGAGCTGATTCCGGACGCGGAGTTTGCCTACAACAACCACATTCACTCCTCCATGCAACAAGTCCCGTTCATGACGGACTCGGGCCGCCTCCCGCGCATGGGCTTTGAACCCGGAGTCCGCTCCGCTATGGAGTCTGTGAACGAGTTCCGCGACCGGATCGCCACTGGTGTTGCTGAAGCCAAGGCTGTGCTCACAAAGGCCAAAGAGGAGTACAAACGCTACTACGACCGGAGACGCACTCCGTCTCCGGAGTTTAAGGTTGGTGACCGTGTTTGGCTGGATGCCTCTGACATCAGGACGACTCGCCCCTCGGAAAAGTTCTCCCATCGCCGCCTCGGACCGTTCAAGATAGTCGCGGAGATCAGCAAAGGTGCCTACAAGCTCGACCTCCCTCCGCGCTACTCGAAGCTCCACCCGGTCTTCCCCGTTGTCAAGCTCGAGCTCGCCCAAGACGACCCCTTCGACGGACGCCCCGGCTACGACCAGCCCCCTCCGGACCTCGAGGACGGAGTCCCGGAGTGGGAAGTAGAGGAAATCTTGGACGCAAGGGTGAGGTATAAACGGCTGAACTACTTCGTCAGATGGAAAGGCTACGATGCGTCGCACGACCAGTGGGTCCGCTTCAACTGCGTCTTTGCCCCGGAGAAAATTGCGGAGTTCTATCGTAAGTACCCTGGCAAGCCACGACACATCGCCTCCGTGACCTTCGACTCGATTCCGTTCCGGTCTATGCGTCGGGACGCCGCATTCAAAGGGGGGGGTGATGTCAGGGGAACCTCCCTTTCGGCCCGGAGATGCGTCCGATTCCGGTCTGATTCCGGTTCCGACTCCGGTCCGGCCCTCCATCTCGCCCGCACAATCACCGATCCGTCAACGCCCTCCCGACGGTCGCCCTGGGACCTCGCCTGCGATGCCGCCCAAGCCTTCTGTGCCTGACAGCGGCAGCTACGGACAAGCAGTATATAGTCAGCTCCCTAGCAGGCGGACCCTTAGAGTTTCTTCTCTTTGGATCCTCTCCTGCTAGGTCAGCTTCATTTGTATTCGCTTACCAATGTTCACGCTTTGGATCCTCCCCTGCTAGGACCTTGATCTCAGGCCTCCGCGGTTGCCCTTACAAAGCGCATCTGAGCATAGTTTCCCTATCTTCATGTCTTCACATTAAGCTAGCACTTCAATATCCAAAATTTGACAATAGTTCCAGTATATCAGACAAATTGGTGATAGTTTTGGTGTTCTCGGGTAGTCTCGGTGTTGTCGGGTAGCGTTCTCGGGTTCGGATCACATAATCACAGTGTTTGTCGTCGTCGTTGTCAAAGACCTTTCCACTATGGGGGGTGCATTGAATTCTGGGGTATCTACTAACAAAAACAAGCTGAATATACACTACTCGCTTACGTGAGATTTACCTAATCTTGATGGCCCTGGCCGCCCTGGCCACGGTCACATGCTGTTTCACTTTAATGTTTCACCCATCTCTAACATGTCGCACCTCACGCGTTTGGTTTCACCTCATGTTTTATCCACCTCCCTGCGTTTGGGTGTGTGTCTGAGCAGCCTGAGATGTGTTCGAGCCCAAACGCACTTGCCATTGGTTCGTTTCGCGTTTCTGGCTTGGCCAGCCGCAGCCGGGTTGTGTCCGCATCGGCCGATGTCTGACCGGTCAAAAATGGCCCGGATGGCTGTTCCAGCAAATTTCCAGCGTTCAACGCATCCCGTGCTTGACACTGGACCCGGACCTGTGCTCAACCCTAGACTTATGGACGGCCAGTATATAGTTGGTGCCCTAGCAGGTGGACCCTTTGAGTAGGGTGCTGTGAGTAGTAGCTGTTTCAAAACCCGTTTCAAAACAGCTGTGAGTTTTTAATTCCCTGGGGACTGACCTTGGTTTCGAAACAGGCCCGAGATGCCCGGCCGGTGACAGTCATGACCATCACCGGCTAAGCGGCCAGGTGTCCATGGAAATGGGCCCTGCCGACCTGCCCCAGGCCCTCGGATGGGGTATTGACACATGCTGGCTGGTGACCAGCATCAAGGTCTGATCTCGGTCGCCTTCGCTTCATCTCCATCGCTCGGGTGGCCGTGATTACCTAACCCTGGCCACCTGTTTCGAAACTGTTTCAAAACGGGCCTGTTTCAAAACCGGTTTCGAAACAGGGGTCGAAACAGGGGTGAGTAATTCAAAATGAATTACTCACAGCACCCCACAGGCTTTGAGTTTCTTCTCTTTTGATTCTCCCCTGCTAGGACTCTGATCTCCAGGCCACCATGGTTGCCCTTACAATATTAGCCAGAACTACCAGTATAGCATTATATTCAGGTTGAATGTCACAGGTCACAAGCCCCTGAATATTCAAACAACTCTGAATGAGTTATATATTACCAGCCTAATTTATAAATTTGAGTCATTCATGCTTACAAACACATTATTTTGGTCGATTTCTACCTGTGACAGCACTTATAGGTGTAGTTGGCAAAAAAAAAAAAAAGTATGTTTTGGTGCATCTCTTGAGGACAGCAATTGGACAGTAAGGCTTATCAAGACTTCCTTGCCTTGCGAGTTGCTTGCGAGGCTACCCTGATTAATATCATTATCGACAAGTCACAACATAGCTAGTTCCTTACAACAGGTGGAATTAGCTAACACTATTACCATGCTTATATACATCACCAGCCATATCCTACTTCAAACTTTGCATATTTAACACACTGTACCAAGATTTACGGCTGGTGATCGTCAGTGAATTGTCAGTAAATCAATAACACACATCAGTCGATCGGACTCGATCCTCACATGCCCCACATGATCGCATCACACCTACACTTTCTGTCCCCGACAACCAGGTCCATAACCATGGCCAGCAACGAGCTTCCCGCCGAGCTCATCGAGGCCATCGTGGGGCACCTCCCGGTCGGCCCGGGGCGCGTGCCCATCGCTACACTCACCGCATGTGCGGCTGCGGCGTCGGTCTTCCGCGGGCCAGCTCAGCGAAGGTTGTTCACCAGACTGGTGCTGCGGTCGGCGACGATCGAGGCACGCGCGGTGCATCTGTATGCTGACGCGGCCAGGCTATTCGAAGAGGCCCCGCATTTGGCGGGGTATGTGCAGGCGGTGAAGCTGCAGCTGCCCGATGCGGAAAATGCGGGATGGGCGGAGGAGCGGGGGAAGGCGGAGGCGGTGCTGCATTTGCTGGATGGCGTGAAGAGGGTTGAGGTGCACAGCGGACGGTGGGCGGGGTATTCCCCTGCAGCGCTGGAAGTTTTCTTGGATATATTCCGCGGTTTGGAGAGACTCGAACTCCGCGGCATTGGCGGCCTCACGCCCCGACTGTTCCACCGGGTGCTCATCGCTGCCACTGCGCTCGTACTTGACGGTGTCGCCCGAGGTGACAAACAGGAGGAGGATCAGATTGCGCCGATTGGGCTAGAGACGTTGGATGTCTCCAATTGCCCGACCATCTACCACCTTCTCCCCGACCCTGAAGACGCCCCGCAGGCTCTGCACGATGTCACCCTTGCCCCGGTGCGCAGCGACGACGAGCTCGGCGTGTGGTTCGCCTTTTGCTCACAGTCAGTAGAGAAGCTGTCAATCGAGTTCTACTGTGTGTTGTCCCCTTCCTCTTCTATTAATATGCTAATAACATTGCAGACACGCACTTTTCCGAGATGGTCGCGCTCCCCTCCTTCCCGTACCTCACCACGCTCCGCCTCGAAGACGTCCCGCTGTCAGACACCGATACTCACCCGCCCGCCCTGCTCGCCGCGCTCCTCCAATACTACACCACCCCTCTTCTCACTTCCCTGCACATCACGTTCCAGTTTGAGGCTCACGACCTCCCGCTTTCCCCCGAGCAGTGGGCGGAGCTGGACGCCGCGATCGCCGAGCACCCGATGGCCGTGGCCGATAGCCTCGATGTGGAGTGCGTTATTCCGTACTTCGACGGCCACACGGAAGCGTGCAAGGATGCGTTTGCGCGGGTTATGCCAAGGGCAACAGAGGCGGCTGTGTTGGAGGTGAGTGCCAGGATGGGCGCCGCGGAGCTCGAGCTTGAGTTCTACTAATAGTTAAAAACGTAAAATAGTAGTTCAAGTTGGGATAAGTCCTTGAACGAGCGGTGCATGTGTGTGGATATAGTAACTGTTGAATAACTGCAGCACCGTCAAGTTGGCAGTATTTGGGAGTTACCCCGATCGACACCGTGACGGGCACTGCGTGCGTGGGATCGGTTTTGCGCTATCGCACTATAATACAATCCGGATCTCTCGATGACAGTGGAGCAATTCTATATTGCGGGCCGGTCACGGTCTTTCCCTTGTACATTGTACCCACGGGCCACCGCGAGTCTCCCTCGGGCGGAGACGGGCCGTGGTCCACGCATAAATATATCCCGTGCTCAAGTTTGCTGCTTCTTTTGTGACACGGTGTCAAGGACGGTCAAGGGCGTGTGGACGCCGCATTGCTTGCACTTGATCACCATGTCGCAGACCCACATTCTCCGAAGTGAGCCTCTATCCAATGTGCCTTCATTACTGACCTCTTTGCAGTCCATCTGGCTGAAAACAGCGCAAAACCAAGGAAGACCACGAAGCTCTATGCTGTTGTCCGCCGAGGAAGCCCAACTGGAGAAGTTCTTGTCAAAACAAAGAGCCTGAAGAACAAAAGCCCGCAGACTGGTCCGTGGAGTATTAGGGAAGAAATGTGAGTTGTGGGCACATCACTAATCATAACTACCTCAAATTTATATCTAGTGTCATTGACTCCAATGATACAAAACTCAATCTTGCCATTTTCCACTACCACAAGTGGGGAAAGCACGATTTGCTTGTCCAGAATACATTTCAAGTCCAGGAGCTGCTAGACAAGAGCACCACTGGAGATCCTGGTAAGCACTCCACTTGAAGATTTCAGTTAGCATGGAAATAATTTGTAGCAGTATTTATGTCTTTGGGTCCTGGAGTTGAGAGAGCTGGAAGCTTGCAAGTGCTTCTCACAACACAGCAACCAGATGGTAATGAGGTGGAACTCCAGGTAGTAAATGGTATTATAATTGACTGGCCACTCTGAATACAAGCATTACAGAATCAACCTTCCTGGAAGACAAAATTGTATAACAAGGTTCAAGGCACTCTGAAGGGGCTTTCAGCAATTATGGAAGTGGTGGATCCTATGGTTCCTGCTCCATTCAATGCTCCCCTGCATTTGTTAAATACTTTGTTTGCTATCATTATTGTATGTGTTAATATTCTGTCCCATCAATACAGATCTAACCATTGTATAGGAGTATCAGGACAACAAGGAGGATTTGGAGCACATAGTCACAAGGCTCATGGGCACATTGGAGAAACTCAATCAGCAGATCTCTGATGGCAACAAATATAACCCAATTGTAATCAAGAGCAGGCAGCACTTAGCTCAGTATGTATTCCAGAAACTGATTTTTGAAAGTCTCATGATATGTCAGATTACTGAACAAAGAAGCTGTAAAGCTACAGAAACTAAAGCAGGCTAGAATTCAAAACTTTATACAACCTGATAGCCTTGCCAAAAGCATTCAAGCTTATATTGATGAACTGACTATAGGGCTAGACAAGGGGGGCCCAACATTCAAATTATGTACATAGGGCCGAATGTTTTTTTTCTGGGCCTTCAGACCCCCCTCCCCCCCTCCTGCCTTATATAGTAATGATCTCCCACGAAAACGTGACTGATGCGATCAAAATCGCATCAAAATGATTGATAGAGGTCTTGAAAATGGAAAATGTGATTAAATTAAATTGTAACTAGGCTATTATAATGTTCCTATGCCTTTAAATGAACTTTCATATAAAGTTGTATTGCTTCTTGCATCATAATGATATGTTGATGCTATCAAAGACTGTGACAAGTTTAGTCACTTCACCAAAAAAACTGGGTTTCACTGCATTCAAAGGTATAAAATGGCATTTAACATGGAAGATCTACATATGAAAGGCCTCCTAAGGCCTCCTAAGTACCTCTTGAAGCATCCCTACACCAAACACAAAAGTTTTTTTTTCTAGGCTCTGGACCCCCCCCCCTGCCCCATAGCCATGATAGGCATCTTGCGCCCCCCCTTGGGGCTAGATGAGCATAGGGTGATATAGGCATATGCTAGTAAATGTTTCTACTGATGACTTGATTCCCATAGGATACAATAACTCAATCCATAGCACAAGATGTGACCAAGACAATGAAATTCGCAATGGTATAAAAGCTATTATAATATTTAACTATTTAACAGAAGATCACTAGGCAGAAAAACTATATTTTGTACCCAGAGCATTATTTAATGCAGATCAAGGATTGAGTAGCTCACGGAATTCATGTACTCTTGGAACCCGTGAAGAGGTGTTGGGGATACTTGAAAACTGGATTGAGGACCCCAATAGCTCTCAGATATTCTGGCTCAGTGGCATGGCAGGCTCTGGAAAATCAACAGTTGCCTATACTATCTGCAAGGAAATGAAAGCACAGGGTCAACTGGCTGCATCATTTTTCTGCTCCAGGACTGAGGCTATGTCAAGAACGTTGACAAATATCATCCCCAGCATTGCCCGCCAGCTCCTTCATAAATATGGCCCCTATGCTCAAAGTCTATCAAACATCAGTTTGGATACTATAGTCCCCTCTTCAGCTACACATGTAAGAGAACTGCTGATAGAACCCTGGAGAAAATCTATGCAGCATCATACTACACCACATCTTATTGTCATTGATGCATTAGATGAGATTGAAGGTGGCAAAGGACATGACATTCTCAAGCAGTTTGTGGATGAAATTAACTATGACTTCAAGGGTTTGAAGATTTTGATTACAAGCCGTCCAAATCCTCAAATTGCTAGGCATGCACAGAAACTGAAAGAGAATATTTATCATCTTGAGTGGATCCCAAAGAAACAAGCAACTGGGGACATTAAGAAGTATATTGATACTGAATTGCCTGAACTACCTGGAAATGATAGAGACTATATTGTTCAGGAAGCTCAAGGACTTTTTATTTATGCTGCAACAATTGTCAGATATCTGAAGCCCTCACAGTATGATCTGACATCACAAGAACAACATGATAGAGTGATGAAGTTATGCAATAGTGGGAAACTGGCTAGTCTAGATGTAGGAGAGGAACTTCAAATTGCCTCCTTATACAGATATATCCTTTCTGAAGGCTTGCCAACAGATATACCTGAGATGCTTCTACGTAGGCATGTATTAATATGCTGTGGTATTGGGACTCGTGGTGTAGTGGCATTCCACCTGTCCTGGCCTTTAGGTAAACCAAAAAGGTCCTGGGTTCAATCCCAGCAAAAGCTGCCTAACGAGGGGTTCTAGTGGGTATTAAGGACAAAGAGCCTTGGAGTCCCACACTGTTTGTGCACACACTGTGTCATTCGTGCGTAAATGCATTCCCCCCGGTGGAGTAGTAGGATAAAGTCTTACTGCTTTCGATATTCACATGTCCAACCTTTACCAGAGCCTTGTGGGATGATCAATTATCAACTGCACAAGAGTTTGCATATGGTACAGCCAAAAAAAAAAAAAAAAAAAAAAAAAAAATATGCTGTGGTATCAGCTAGACAGCCACATACTATCAGAAGTCTTACTCCACTGGTCATGTCAAACACTTCTAAACAGCCAGATGAGCTAGCTATAGAGCACACTATCAAAGCTTTTCACTCTGTATTATATATATCACCAGCCAATAAGTGTATTTATTCCTATCATAAGTCATTTGATGACTTCATTCTGAATTGGGCAAGATTGGAAGATAAAGATGAGGCCAACGACTACTTTATTAACCAAGCATGTACAGCATTGAAGGTTTTGAATGAAGGGCTGAGGTTTAACATCTGTGATTTACAGTCATCATACCAAACCAGACCAAGAGGATATCAACTTGCAATCAAAAATCACTCAAAGGATAGGAGTACAGCTGGGGTATTCCTGCAAGAACTGGGGTGCCCAGTTAAGTTCCATCAAGCATGATAATCCAAGGTTACAGGAAATCTTCACACATTTACAGAAGTTTATGGAAGTCAAAATATTATTTTGGATGGAGACCATGAATTTGATAGAGGGAGACTGTCGTATAGCAAGGTGGTTTCAGGCTCTAATAAGATTGAGATCTGGAATGCAGCTACTGGGGCAGAAGAACTTAGCTTTGATGACAGTTTTTTCTACTCTATACATGCTGTAGCATTCTCTCCAGATGGTACAAAAATTGTTTCTGCATCAGAAGCCTATACTATCAATAGGTACGGTCAGACATGACCGAACGGGTGCCAAACAAGTGATGCCGAACAAGTCGCGTAGATTTTGTATTCGGTCCCGAATTCGCTGTTCTTGTTTGACCGCACCACCGAACACAGATGGTGAAGGGCGCCTGATACGGTGATACCAAGACACGCCGATGCTGCCCCTGTGTGACGCTAAGTGTGACAAGGACTCCTATCCTCTTTCTCTCTCTGCATGAGTCGCGATGGCTCGCACAGACTCGCGTCGTGGACGCGTGGCAGCGCTACTCAAATCAGCAACGGCCTATGCTCGCCAACGGCAGCACCTGCTGCTCCGCCACCGCCACCGCCTGAAAACACTGGGCTTATCTGCAGCCAGCCAACTCAGTATACTGCGGGCCTCAATTGGTCTTCCCCGCCGGTGGCCCACCATCGACCTTGATGATAACGATGACTGGAGTAGTTCAACCAGCTCAACCAGCTCTGAATCTTCAAGTTCAGACTCAGATTCAAGTGTTGATTCATGTAAGGGCAACCCTGGAGACTCCGACGAAAGCCTAGCAGGGGAGGATCCAAAGCGTGAATAAGACTACAGGAAATACACGGAGGGACCGACCTAGCAGGGGAGGATCCAAAGAGAAGAAACTCTAAGGGTCCGCCTGCTAGGGCGCCAACTATATACTGGTCGTCCGTAACTGCCGACGTAGAGCGCAGAAGGCCTGAGCGGCGTCGCAGGCTCTGTCCCAAGGTGATCGTTGGGAGGGTCTTGACGGATCGGTGATTGTGCGGGCGAAGGAGGCCGTGGACGATGG